CTCCCCCTCTTCTCTCCCCCCCTCCTCCCCCCCCACACCGCCCAACTTACTCAAGCTGCCCCTCTGTTGTGTCGGTGTCGGCTATTTTTTTTCTTAAAATTAGCCAATAATTTTTCCCCTTTGCGGATGGGTATTTCCCGTGGCTTTTCTTTTCCTTGAAGTCGTGTTCGCCGCCTCGTTGTTGCCTGTTGGGAGAATCCTAACAGTACGGTGACCACCCTGTTCTATTTTTAGCGATGGAGATTTTGCAGAGGAGAGAGCACCAGGATTCTTGTTGTCGTCATCATCCGCGTAGCCGTTTCGGATAAGAGTCGGTGATTGTGGAGGGAAGGGGGAGAAAGGAGGAGCATGAAGAGATCGGAAAGGGGAGGGAGGAGGAGGAGGAGGAGGAGGAGGAGGCGCAAGTGAGGAGATGGCGACGGGCGGCGGTCGCGACAGAGCAGTCTCGGTCAGCCACATGGCTGCCACGTGGCAGGATTGTGACAGCAGCTTAATTTTTTCCAGATTAGGATAATAAATCTTAGAATGATTGCTAAGCGTATCCAAGTGGGGGTGAATCGTCGGGTGACCGATCGACGGGATCTGAGCCATGTCCGGTCTGTCGGGATCTCTACCAATATCTGCTTCCCCTCGAAACGGACGATCACGATGCAACTGCAACTGCTCTGCGTCTGACGCTGCCTGATCTGTCGGGATCTGCATCTGTTGCCGCGGCTCCCGGTTCGTCCGATCAGCCCACGTGTCGCCTCCAGCAGCAGCAGGCGCAAAGTTTGACGTTCCAAATCGAAGATGAGCCCCAGGATGATTGCTGCTGGGACCACCACCGGTCCCGATTCTGGTCCCATCCTGGCAGGTCCCGACCCCGGCGCGATCTTCGTCAGCGGCGGATGCTAATAATAGATCGCCTCCAGATTCTCTTGGGGCAGGGGCAAATGACTCCGGCGCTTCGTCCGATCGAGGGACTCTTTTGTCGTTTTCTTCGCTCGTCTGAGTCACGGAATCCGACTTATCCATCAACGGATAATCAGTGTTTGTCGCTTTCCAAACCGATCTTGTCGTTTTCCTCCTCTCTATTGTCGGAGCCGTACCATTTTCTCCACCTGCAGAGGAAGAGATTGAGATGTCCCGATCCCAATGCTGTGCCAGGGCCGTAACTGATCCCGGCGGCCTTCTGTCATGGCCAGGAGGAGGAGGAGGAGGAGGAGAAGAGAGAGGAGGAGGAAGACGAGGAGAAGAAGGAGAAGGAGAAGGAGAGAGAGGAGTAGGCGTACGAGGAGGAGTGGGAGGAGGAGGAGGAAGGCTTGCTTCCGTCTTTGAGGTAATATCCGATTTCTTTTTTTTTGAAGGAGAACTGGTCGGGACCAAAGCTCGGCGTTTTCTACGCCCTAATGCTGCTCCTGCTGCAGAGCGCGCCAAGTTATCTGAGGACCTGCCATCTGTCAGCACAAGACGACAAACACGTACGGACATGGAGATAAAATTAAATAACATTAAAAAAAAAAAAAAAACGGCAACACAAAAACGCCATTAAAAAAAAAAAAAAAAAAAAAAAAAAACAACAAATACAAACAAAGCAAATCGAAGTTTGT